TTTAGACCAGGTTTTAGTTGGTCAATGGCGCAGTCTATTTCAGTTACCTCAAACAATGCAATAATGCACCTGAGCACACCTCGTTTTCAGACCATCACGCCCATAGGCACACAAATGGGTGCAAATACATTTGCTATTTAAACAACGTGCCGCAGGATGTGAAAATGATAACTGCGTAGGGCTGAAACTAGCAAAAAATCATTTGCATTGCGCCAGGTGTATGATAGGGCCCAATAAGTAACAAAACATTTTTTATGGTTTTGTTTTTAATTTTATTAACCCCGCGTGACACAGTATTTTTGGATCTGATAATGCTTTTGATCCATACTGAAAGATATCTGCGCAGATACTGGTGCGCTCGTTCAACACAGTTGTGTTCAATCCTTCGCAGGCTGTGCTGATTTAAATCTAGCGCTTCTGTTTTTGTCGCAAGTTCAGTGACGCAGGTAGTGACGATTCTCTCCGGGTGTTTCTGCTTCCACTCAAAATAGGCATTTTCAAAATGATATAATAAATTATCTGTGGAGTATTTTGAGCTGAAGCTTCACAGACACATTCTGGGGACACCAGAGATTATATTACATATTGTAAAAAGGGGCATAATATGTCACCTTTAAGTGTGTGTTTTATGCAGTAATATCTGCACGGTGAAGCTGATTTACCCTTCTCTGTTGATACATGTGTGTGTAAGGACTCACTCTCAAGCCTGGAAATCCACTGCTGCCGGTTCCTCCGACAGGCCCCTGAAACACACCAAACATAAGAGACTCAATCCCACAATGCATTCACGAGGAACAGGTCTGATGATTTGTCTGCATGTAGGAGTATTTTCAAACATCTTTAAACTGAAGACATCAAAGATCTCTACAGCTGTTAGGAGTATCAGGTTTTTGATACATTGTACTATTATCAGAAACACTGTATTATTTTTTTATTTTTGGACATTGTATTGTTATCAGAAACCCTACTAATTGACATCTTGACAGATAAATGACACACACAAATTTACATAATCCAGAAAGATATTCTTAAATTCAATTTTATGTCCTATTGATAGTCGCAATGGATGCATTGATGACTTTTATGTTGGAAGAAAATTGGCATCCTTTAGGAGTGGTTCAGATTTTATCCAAATGTTTAATTCATTAGTGCTTTGATACACTGCTGTTAAATATTACTACAATTTAAAACAGCTGTTTTCTATGTGAATATCTGTTAAACTGTAATGTATTTCTGTGATGCGCAGCTGTATTTCCAGCATCATTACTCCAGTCTTCAGTGTCACATGATCTTCAGAAATCAGTATAATATGCTGATCTGCTGCTCAAGAAACATTTCTGATTATTATCAATGTTGAAAATAGTTGTGCTGCACAATATTTTTGAGGAAACCTTGACACATTAGATTTTTCAGGATTCACAGATGAATAGAAAGTTCAAAACAACAGCATTTATTTGAAATGGAAATCTTTTGTAACATGTCTTTACTGTCACTTTTGATCAATTGAATGCATCCTTGCTGAATAAAAGTATTAATTATTATTATTGAATCTAATTTAATTCATATTATTTAGTCTTATTTAATCTCGCCAAACTTTTGAACGGAAGTGTACTGAATGTATACATTATACATAATTATTGTAAACCATAGACTTGGATAACTGTGGTCAACCAATATGACTTTTTAATAGCTGACACTGATATCAGTATACCCACAGACTATCTACCTAATACTAATACTACTAATAATAACTATTATTATTATATGATTTAATTCTAAAAAATAAAATGTACATACAATTTCTGAAACGTAATCTTAAATATTTATTTATACAATTGTTGTTGTAGTATTAATACATAATTTTTAGACATAATTTTAATACATTAATTCATATACATAAAATAATACCTTTGTACTGTCCAAAATACTTTGGTTTTCCCTGAATGAAATTATGAATATAGATCTATTGTCCCAATCTGTAGCAAAGGCCCAGTAAATCTGAAATGAATGCATCTTAACTCTATATAACTGTTTATGTGATGTACCTCGTTTCCGTCCGGTCCGGGCGGCCCTCGCTCACCCGCATCTCCAACAACACCCTGCAAAAACACTGCGTCAGTCTCATTTCCATGAGGCCAGATCACACATCACGATTCGTCTGGCTGTGAATCTGATCCCGTACAGTAGTTTATTTCATGTCTTTATACAGGTATCCTGATCAGTGCATGTTACTGTAAATGGCAGCGGTTTGCAGTTCAGGAGAACGTCTGCATGCTTGCTTGTGTCTTTGAGAGCCCAGGGGCCTCTGAACGTCTTCCAGCAAGCTTTCATCCGCGCTGGAGATGCCTGTGATTAATCATTCTGCTGCAGACGGCGGGCAGGAGCCCAGCTGGCACACCGGCACCGTTCCAGGCTTTCTCAGGACCAACACTTCCCAAAACTACACCAACATGAGCTGCTCTCCAGAGTTTACAGAAGCTGAGAGTGACTTTCTGAGAATCTCTGAGAATCTGATCAATCGAGGAATGATTGATCAAATGTCTGAAGACTCCTGGTTAAAAACCAAAGACTTGTACAACTGTGCTCAACCAATCTGACTTTTTAATGGCTGATGCTGATACCAATATCTATAGACTATCTATAGGATTATATAATAATAATAATAATAATAGTTATTATTCTTTTTGATGTTGTTTAATAATATTTTTTTTATTTTATGGTAGAGTATTATTATTATTATTATTATTATTATTATATAATTTAATGGTGGAAAATAACATGTATTTGTAACATGTACTTGCTGAACCTAAATGTTAAATATTTATAAATTAAATAATTACAAATAATTAATTAATACTTAAAGAGATTTATTATTATAATTATCATTATTATATTAAAATAAGTTAAATATTGAAGATTAAATTATTATTATTATTATTATTACTAACCCTTATTATGAAATGCTTTTATGGTGAAAATAAGATGTACATAAAATCTAAATTAACACCTATTTCACATAATATTTACTCAACATTCACAAGATGAAAAATTTAAAACAGAAAATGTGCTATTGCTGATAATCGTAAAGTACTGGCACATGCTAATCATAAAATATCCTGGTTCATCACTATTGTACAATAACTTACAGATTCTGACTTGTATGTATACATATATATATATATATATATATATATATATATATATACTGTATACATACATACATACATACATTTTTTAACAGTCAGAATGACCCTCACAACCCCTTTAAGAAGTGTAGCAATGTTTCTGTACTAATGTAGACTTTTATACATTGCATAACATCTTTCACCAGGATAATGCTGTCGCCTTTACAGCTGGACGGCAGATGACAAGAACAGATTCTTTGTTCATTTTCTTGCGTTTTCTTCACCCTCAAGTAAAAATATGCATCACTCATTTGCATAATATCCCCTGATGACAGCTTAAGAATGAGAGAGCGTTTACCTGTCTTCCTTTGGGACCCTTGATTCCCACAGGACCTGGAATTCCCTGGAACACATCAAGACGATAGCGGTTACCAAACGATCCGATCTGACACACATTGATCACACTGAGCCGGGGGGCGTCATCAATCTCGACGCTGTTGTCTTGTGTGTTTTCCAGCTCATGTCATTCATTTGGGAATTTAAATCTGTCAAATCGCAGCAACTCTCAACACAATGCCTTAACAGCCCATGTGTGTTAGTCAGTCTAACATGTCCAGACGAAACCGCTATTATGCTGATATTAAAAGAATACTGATGGATATAAACAGCATCTGTGACCTGTGATCATTATGACTCATCCGTCATTATGTAAAATGAGTGAAACATGCTTTTACAGTAAGACATTTACAATGAAAGTCTATGGGGCAAGTGTACAGGAGCAGAAATATACAGAATTATTCAGTAAAAATTCTTTAAATTTGAGCCATTAAATGTTTACAACATTCTTTTGTGGTAGAACTAGTTAAAAAAAAAAATTTCATTTAAAAAATGTAAATGAAAAAATATTAACTTATTTTAGTTAACTAAAACTATTAAAATAATTTATGTTAATTGAAATAAATAATGAAATATACTGTAAATATTAGATTAAAAACTTTTTATTGAAAATTAAATTTCTTTTTTTTCTATTATTATTATTATTATTATTATTATTAAAACCTATTTCAGTTAGTTGCCAGGGCAATATTTGTAGTTTTCATTTAGTTTAAGTATTAAAGCTATAAATAAATAAATAAATAAATATTTACAAAATAATACAAATGAAAAAAGCACAGATTAAAATTAAAATTACTAAATTACTAAACATAAAATTAAAATTAAACTGATAATTCAATATATTCAAAATAGAACTGTAGTTCAAACAGTAAAGCTTGACGTTTGTAACGCCACAAACATGGGTTTGATTTGCATGGAATGCGTGAACATGGAAAACTTCAATGCAATGCAAGCTGATTTGAATAAAAGTGTCAAATGCATAAATGTAAATGTAATTTCTGAGAGTGAAGTTTGCTGCATGTACTAAACCCCATTTCAGATACCACTGAAACCAAGTGAAACTGACCAGGTTAAACGGGTTTTGTCTGATCCTGACATGAGACATGAAACAAGCAACATCTCTTGAGATGCAGTAGTCAGATCTTGACTTCATACAGCTCACTGATTCTTGAGTACTGGGACACAACAGGCTAGAGGACTGCAATAATAAAATATTTTGAGACTGCTACTGTACGTACATTTACACCTTTAGGTCCAGGGTTTCCCTCCGGTCCTGCCAAACCCTGCAAAACATTATACACATTCACATGTAAGTCAAATACACACATCTTGAAACCTGCCAAAAACATGTCAAGGTAAAAAAAAAACAACAACAACTCGAAACTATGAAATTATACTTTATCAAATAACTGTGAACATTCACTAAAGCAAAACTAGAATTAGATTGTGCTGGAGATGAATGGAATACTGCCTTTCTAAAGATACTAAAAATGCTGTATACACACAATGAACAATATGAAAATACAGAGCACACTGCACAGAATAATGTATCCCACAATGCAATGCACTCAACCACCCATTTCATGTGTGATGAATGAACTGCGATATCATCCGTGATTCTTTTTTTGACTCATTACATGATCAAACTGTCAAGAATTAAGAAACTTTTACAGCAAACTGCATCCCATCCCATCAATTTGGAGATTTTTTACTTTCATAACATGCCTTCTTTCAGACTAGTGGAAAGAAAACTTCAGAAAAAGTTTTTATGTTATTGCACTTTATTTATTTGTGTCTGTAGATTTAAATTACAAATCATATCTTAAAAAGTTGTTTCCCCACTTCAGCAGCACTTACATACACCAAACTTAGCAGTTGTATTCCTATGTATATTCTGAAGGTTTTTACTGAGGAGCTTGTTCATTTATCATTTACACTGATTTGTATAACATTTTATTCCTAAAAACATGGTGAAAATGTATATTTTCTGGCTGTTGACAGTATTTTCTGATTTATGGATTGATAAAAAGAGATATTCATAATCCCCTCTATAAAAAACCCTTAACTCCAATGTCAACAAGATCAAACAAGAATGTTGAATCTGGCTTTATCCAATGTTCAGATTTATCTTCTGGAAATGTATGCAAATTAGTGCATAACATATCAGAAAACTTAGTACAAAACAATCGTCTTAATGTACTGTGATTGATCAGCTGGGGAAGTGTGGTGATATCTACTAGTTTCAATTTTTATCCTATTCACCTTGTCTTTAAATGTTTATGCAGTATTAATCGTTGCATATTGTGTATTATTTCACATACTACTTTTAAAAATACAACATACAGTATACTGCACAGTACATTCTAAACAGCTGCCTGATATTAAATTTCAATTTAGAATCAAGTTTAATATTTTAAAATTTAGGATCAAGATGAAGTAACACATTATCAAAAAGCCTTTTTTGTTGTTCTTAGTGGATATTGGTCACTGCACCTGCCTGCCAGGGTAACCTGCCGCCCCAGATATGCCCGGTAATCCCGGCAAACCCTGAGGAGAAAAGAAAGAAAAACGTGAATGAGAGATGAGAGTGGCTGCCAGTGGACGAATAGAGCCACTATTGTTCCCTGTGGCATCTCTCTCTCAAAGCATCCACGGGCCGGAGCGGCTCTCCGCAGCCTGACCCTGGCTGAAGTCCAGACGGCGGCTCCTCTCCGCTGCACGACTCCAGTGCGGATCATCTTTGCATCAGATGACTGCATATAAAGACTGCGCTTTGTGACTGAATGAAACTTTCCATGTATTGAGTTCCAAACCTTCCGGACTCGGTTATTGAGGAGGTACAAAGGTACAACTCATAGATCTGTTTAATGCCATGTCAAACATGTAGGCAGGGATGGAAAGAGAATTAAAGCCGATTGTACGGGCAAAATATGTGCAACAGGATGGCTGCTATGTGAAAGGGAGATTAAATATAATGCAAAAACCTAACTACAGGATGTTTGAAATTGATTTTCAGCTCCATCTATTGAGGACAATCTGATAGATGTTGACAAAAAATATTTTTTTTACATTTTGCATTTCATACATGCACTATATTAAAAAAGGGACATCACTGTGAAACAGTATAAAAGATGTATCTGAATTATAAAAGAGTCTATCTGAAGTATTGCTTTATTGCTTACAGGATCACTATTATACAGAAAACTGTCAAATAATCTGCATGAGGAGAAACAATAATGTACAGTATGTGGAAAATACATTTTTTTTAACCTTAAACCGCATAAAAACATTACACCAAATACACAAAATAATGTTCTTTTTAGCAGCATCATATGACCCCTTTAACAAATCATAGCTAGTGTTACACTAGTAATAATTCATGCAACACTTGTTACTTAAAAATAGCTACTTAAGGTAATAAAGAATATTTGTTGAGTCCAATTTACGTCTAATTTACCGGTATGATTAGCAGTAATAATAGTGATACTTCACTAAGCAAACATTACTAGTTAAATATGGCTTGGGATCTGACAAACTACAGCCTCAAAGCAGCTTCACGGACACTAACTGATTGAAGCAGTAGTTGAAAATATCAATGGACAAACAGACCGACATCCACCTGAGATGCGTTTCATCCACTCACCTGTTCTCCGGGCAGACCTGCGGGTCCTGGATAGCCTTTGGGACCCTGCAGGTGAAAAAAAAGGAAAGCAGATTACAACCTTTTACAGAGCACAAAGCAAAGAATTTTCTCATTTCCCTACAATGTTAAGAACAAGGAGAAACAGAGAGACTTGTACTTGACGTTCTATCTTTTCCACATTTCTGGGGATTGTGTTGCCTAAAGTCCCAGTGGCCTCAGATAAGACTAATAGCCCTTAAGAATTTCCCCAGAACTGTCAAAACCCTTTAAAGCTTTCCCCGTCTGACAGCTCCAGCTAGAGCCCATGAAAGAAAGACAAGTCACGACAGTGAGACGGGGAGGGGAGGTCAGAAAACCTCACCTCGAAACTTTTCTTGTGTGCTGGAACCGATCGGTGCCAAATTTACTGAAGCACAACAATGCAATCCTACAGTCAGTTATGCAAATATATCTTTGAGTTGAATATTTTGATATTCAGATGCCTGATTTGATAGAGGTTCTCACATCTGTTTGCCAGCAGGTGGCGCTGTGTGTTGGACCGAGCGGAGAGGCTCAAGTGTGGGCAATCCTCTGATTTGGAAAATTCCAGGCCTTCTGACCACGCATCAGAGGTCACTGTGATTTACGCCTGACCTGGTCTGGACCTGCAGGACTACTTCTGCTCAAGCTCTTTAAACATTTTACTGCAAAAGCTGAGTGCTCCAGATACTAATGACCTATAAAAACAGCATTTAAACGGATCCCTTAAGTTTAGCACGCTCAAGATCAAAGACTCCGGCATTCGGCAGGAGCGAGGTGAGGTGGTTCAACAAGAAATGAAAGTCAAGACAAATACATCAATTCTACTATGGACTTTTCGCAATCTCGAAATCTCAAATACCCTGTTCTCGTTACCTCATTGAGTATTCAAGATGCACTGTATTCAAGATACTCACCCTGCACTGGCTTCCTGTTGATTTTAGAGTCCGATATAAAGTTTTGATAATGGTTTTTAAAGGTTTGCATGGCCTTGCTCCAGAGTACATTTAATGTCTGTTACAGCAGCGCTGTTTTGCTAGACCTCTAAGATCATCACAGAGGCGTTTGCTTTTACATGTTCCCAGATCACGGTTGAAAACCAAAGGTGATCGAGCCTTTTCTGTGGCAGCCCCACGTCTTTGGAATAGTCTCTCATGTGACTCATTAGACTGTTTTAAATCAATGTTGAAAACAAACCTTTACTCTGTGGCATACAGTTGCCCCTAGCTTTTGGGACATTGATCAGTGATGGATATTGTTGTGCATTGTGTCTGTTTGAGTAATTTTTAGACATGTAAAGCACTTTGGTCAACTGGTGTTGTTTTAAATGTGCTATATAAATAAATGTTGATTGAATATCTTGTTTCACTCTGCAAATGTCACATTATAGAAGAAAAATGGATTGCTTTCACCTATGCAAGTAAACGAAATGTTGTGCAAGAAATGACTAGCTTTTAGGATTGATATCTCAGCCCACAGCTCAGATGGGTTGATAAAGCAAGAAACTTTCTTAATGAAACCTGGACGAACTTGATTTGGTCAGCTTATAAGTCTTTGGCGGCCATTTGTCTTTGGAGGCAAATCAATGACTTCTGTCATGACTTGATCTATTCTATCAACGATTCTGGTTTCACCTCCAGATCCCTGTGGTTTTCCCACTCTCAGATGAATCAGGCCAGGATCCACAAACCTAACCATACAGATCTGCTTTTTATCACTTCCCGGGTTGTGACAACTGACCTTTCAAAACCAACTAAAAAAAGCCCCCACACAATAGAAAATAGCTCTTTCCAAAAAGGCCTCCATTTCCAAAGAAAACTCCACTTGGAGAACATTAATAATTTCTGAGAGTTAAGCCACACAAAAACAGTCTCAACTGTGCTCTTGGGATTGCAAGTGAAAATCCGATTACAATTGGCCACTGTTAGCAAAATGAGCTCTGGCCAACAATTTCTAGTCAAAACTGAAAGGACTTTACAAGGCCTTTGGTTCTCTTCACCTCGCAAACCAAAACAAGAGCTACTGAATACCCCTCATGATATCTCCCAACAAACTACCCTCACAAACTCAAGTCATAGACCTTGAATATTGCAAAAACACATTCTCTAGCTGAGTTACGTGAGTGAAGACTTGCGGCAGTTGCGCTTTTGAAGATGCAACATGGGACTGTTCATGTCACCCTGTAGAGTGCCTTTCCTCTAAAAGACGACCCTTGACCTCTGGGGGGTCTCATGTTCTAACGGGTGCTCCCAGGTGATGGCGACTCCCCGATCAAAGCTACGTCTTGAGAAGTGTGAACAGACCTTCGCCTGCCCCAAAAACACCACACGGGGTCTTTATTCTGGTCCGTAACCCAATCCAGCCGCTGCTCAGAGGGGCCTTTCCGCCGCGGTGGCGGTAACAGATACTGTGTAACACTGTGGAGAATGAAACACTACATCTCACCAATACAAACAGCCCATAATTCAGCCGAAACGGGCTCTCCGGCAGTACGGTGGGAGAGAAGGACTTACCTTTGGACCTGCTTCACCTTTAGGACCCTGTGGACCCAGCCGTCCTCTTTCACCCTGAAATAATAAAAGAGAAGAAACTCAGTGTTGTCCTTCATCACCTGAGGGTCATACCTGGATGATGAAAACAGCAGCAATTCTGCCATTGCTTACTCTTCGCCCTCACATTTCAAAGCTTTTCTTTCAGGGAAATCAAACAAACCGATATATCCGATATGCCGATATTTTTTAAATACTTTTGACCGATAACCATTGCCGATACCGATATATATTCCCTATTGTTTTGAAACAACACCAAGTCTTTCCAGAGAAGGAATCATAAACCGTTTTTATTTTTAAAAACAAGCAAACTTGTTTGTTAAAACTAATAAACATTATTCAAGTTATTTTTTAATGAGACTACACTGAAAGCTTTGAAAATACCTATTATAATATCAAGCTCTGCTGTTTTTTCTTTTTACTTTTTCTTTCAGTTGCAGTTGAAACCTTAACATTTTATTTGTAGATTTAATATTAATAGATGATAGAAAGCAAAAAAAATTAAAAATTATAGCTCCTTGTACTTGAGTTTTCATAATCCCTTTGAAAAAAATATATTAAATATTAATGTATAAATCTGTATATATTAAATCATTTAATTTACAAGTGTCATGTTTGTGATTTTTATTCATGTAAGCTATAGCTTCTCTCGTGATTTAATGGCATCAATTACTGCTTTATTCATTTAGAAACACCAGTATATTAATGCTATTTGTGTATTTTGCTTTTCATTTTATCACAAGTAGCCCTACAGCGCCCCCAAAGTAAATAAAAAATCCTGACGAGACACGTTTTGATCGACATTTGTAATTTTGGGTGCCCAATTTTCCCAACCATTTTCACTATCGAGTATTGCTTTAGTTCTATTTCCCGTGCAACAAGAAAGTCCTACAGATTTGGAACAACATGAGGGTGAGTAAACTGACAATTATGTTCATTTATGGGTGAATGATCCCTTTAAAGGCCAGAAAACCAGTGAGTGATTGCTGTAGTTTAACGTTTTAGGGCTGTAAATGCAAAGAAATCTCAAAGCACCCCGAGAGAAAAGATGCTGTAGTTCGTCTTTGTGGATCATTTACCTTATCACCTGCCGGCGCTTGACCCGGGGACAGTCCAGGATCACCTTTTGCTCCCTGGGACATAAATAAAGTGCACTATGTTAATTCAGTTTGACGTTCTACATGCCATAAAACGAGCTGTCAAAGGAAACTCAAAAGCATGTCTAAAATTCAAGAAGACACATGCAAATCATGTTCGCCTGTGCTGACAGATTAAGGCAAGTGATAACGGTGGATCTGGAGAGATTTAAGAGGCAAAAGCTGCTTTCTACGTGTATGCAAATACACTAAACCTTAGAATAGAGTTCAACCTATTATATATTGGACCGTTGATATCTGAACTTTATCAATCCATCCATCAATGCACCAATAATCATCGTCAATCATTTCATCCATCAATCATGTGTCGATCAACATGCATCATCCACCATTCATTGATTTATTCATTCAATCTGATTTTGTGGATTCAACCAACTGTGCAATATTGTGCTTTTGCACTACACAATACTTTTTAATTACACTTAAAATGCATCTAAATCCAAAGGGAGTCAGTGGAAGTTGACTGGAAAAAAAGTCTCACGGCATGGACAAAAATTTAGCATGTCAGTCAAACATCTCCAAATCCATTCAGGCCCGAGTGAGAGTTTTAATCCTTGACGGAAACACAATTGCTGCCAATCAACACTAGACAGCACGGATCTGACACCTGCGAAACGCCACTTCACTAAAGCAAACCCTGCCATGATCCGCTGACTTTAGACTGAAAAACCAAATGTCAACCGAGCAGACGAGCTGCATTCAGGTCTCGATAAAACATGTCACAGCCAAACCTCTCAAACCTGTGAAGCCCATCTCATTTCGCGCTCTATGTCATCCCTGAAGTCTTAAGAAGGGATATGAAGCACAAAGCGCTCCAGCTCCGTCTCGCTTCTCCAGATCCCAGCAGATACATGACTCATCTGTGGGCTGCACTGAGATGCTTCACAGTTTCCACCATCAGGCTCAGATGGGCCCCCGGTGATGATATCTGCTGCCCACTCAGGTCATCTCTGAATGGACAGAGAGATGAACACTTTGTCCTAAAGCTTGATGGGAAAATCAGATTGGCGTATTTGGCACTTGTGAATATGAAGGTCAAGCGTTCAGATTAATGGGAAAGGAAAAAAACACAATCTCCTTTGTTTCTCCGAGACAGCAAAATAGAGAGCAAAAGGAGTCCTCCAGCTTCTCAGATGTTTCTGTCTGGTCATTTCACATGTCTTCTATAAAACTGTGGTTTTGTCTCTAAGGCCCCTGCAGATGTCCACAACAACATTCAAAGGCCCTCTGACTTTTAGATTTGTTTGTGATTTTGGCCTAGAAAAAAGTAACAAATACATACATACATACATACATACATATATATTTTTTGATTTATGTGTTAATAAACATTTTTAATAAACAAATTTATGTGATTACATTACATAGGTTTTTCATTGCATACATTTTTCAGAAATCACATTTTTATGATTATAAAATGTATATTAAAATGAAAAAAAAGGATTATGCAATTTTTATTAAATTACTTGACTTTTCCAGCTCTAGAAACAACTTGTAAAATTTGAAAAAAAAAATATTATTAATAATTGTATATCTATACATACTTTCAATATAATTAATAGTATTAATTTGCATGATTAGATTAAGTAACTTTTATTAAATTACATGAGTTTTGCAGGTCTTTTACATTACACTGTTAAATGAGAAAACCAGTTTATTCTTATTTTATTAATTTAATTGTTTAGATAACATTTAAAAAAAATTCAATTATGTGATTTTTCCAGGTCTAGAAATCACACTTTTATAATCAGAAAAATGTATATTCTTAAAAATGCAATTTTATCAATTCATGTAATAGTTTTTATTACATTACTTTTCAAGATCGAGAAATTACACTTTTAAAAGTGTATATTCTTTTAAAAAATTTATTTTATTAATTTATGTCATTAGAGTACATCATTTTTATTTAATTACATGACTTTTTCAGGTCTAGTAAACACATTTTTATAATGAGAAAAAAAATTATTATTATTATTATTATTTTTTTTTTAAATTTACATTAGCCTTTTACATTACGTAATTCTTATTAATTGATGTGACTTTTCCAGGCCTAAAAAAAAAAGAGTTTTAAAATGAGGAAAAGGCATATTCTTTTTTAAAATGCAATTTTATTCATTTATGGTATTTGATTACATACTTTTTATTAAATGGTGTGACTTTTTCATGTCTAGAAATCACACTTTCGTAATGAGAAAAATGTATATATATATATACATATATCCATGCTGATTACGTAATTTTATTACATTACTTGACTTTTCTAGGTATATTCTTATTATAATTTTTGTGTTTAGAATACCTAATGTTTTATTAAATTAAATGATTTTTTCAGGTCTAGAAAACACTTCTATAAGTAGAAAATGTATATAGTAAATGTATTGCTCATCAAATTCACTTACAGTAAGATTAAATGAACTGCATTCCATATTTTTATTTCTCCAAATGAATTATTAATCAAGATACTTGTCTCTGGATTCTCCTGAGCTGTGAAAGAGCAGCATGAGTGATACATCTCTGCTGTGGGAACCTCTGAGCTGTGATTAGTGGCGAGAGCGAGCGAGTGAAGCGCGTGTGAAAGCCGCAGACGTCTGCTGCGGTAAATAAAGCACATCCACACGGGTCCACACTCAACACTAGCGGCCCGACAGGCTTTATGAGCCACATCATAATAAAACACACGGGGCTCATGTGGAAGCGTCCAGTAAAGAGCTACACATGCTCAGTGTGACAGACGTGCACGGAAACAGAGAGACAGAGACGTAACTATAGCTTAAAAGGATAATAACTAAACAACTCAAACTGAAATTACAATACATTCAAAATATTTAGAGCTAAAGCCAATAACAAAACTACTAAAATTACGATGAATGAATGAACGGAACATATGAGAATACAAGCTGATTAAAATATTAATAGAAACTTAAACATAAATAAAAAATAAATTACAACTATTTAAAAATCTTTTTAAAAGCTATTGAAAATAACAAAAGCACATTACAAAATTTCTAAAAATTAAACTAAAATTAAAATGAAAATTTGAAAAAGTTGATTCAAAATAACAATACAAATATAACAGAATTAAAAAATAAATAAAAAACTTTAGAAATAGAAACATTTTAAAAGGAAACACTAAAAAATGATAAAAGCACATCAAATTACTAAACATTAAGCCAAAGTTAAAATGAAAACCAAAAAATATCAAAACAAAAGCTGATTCAAAATATGAATTTTACACTAAAGCTAAAATAAAAATAAATGAAAAAATTAAATGTTGTTCCAAAGAAAAAAACTAATAAAAGTGTCAAAAGTGCACAGCACAATTACAACAAAAAATGAACTACAATATTATGAATTTATGAAAAAATAAAATTATAATAAAAAATAAAAAATGAAAACTGAACATATAAATATAAAAGCAGATTCAAAATATTAAAACTAAAAACTACTAAAAACTAAAGCTGAATTAAATATATGAAAACTATCTAGAAATGTTTTAAAAGCATATAATCATCATCGGTGCTGAAGATTTCCACTGACACATGTCTCATCACTGTGTTTGTCTGCTTTTTCCACTGCTGGAAAAACTGCACAGGTTCATCCCCTTTCAGGACACACCTGCGTCCTGATGTTCCACACACACACACACACACACATACTCAGACTCTCTCTCTCTCTCTCACACACACACACACACACA